CGTCTTTAGTGCGAAGACGAGATATCTAACTCGAAGATTAACTTGACTAACCATTGCTCTCGCGATTCAGAGCAATTTATCATGGTCGAGCGACAGCTGAAAGCTTCTACGACATTATTCTCTATCCTCTCCCTCTCTTTCTCTCTCTCTCTCTCTCTCTCTCTCTCTCTCGTTCTCGTTCTCTCCTGCCTCTTTCTATCACTTTTTTGTTCACGCTGAGCAGATTCATCAACTTCGATGTAGTAAGCCGACAAGGTGTATAGCCGCGAGATCATTACTCTGGAATTATCCGAATGCCCATAACTTCTCTTCGCTAAAACTCCGGCTCGCGAGGCCGAAATTCCGACTGGGGGAATTCCAGCGGCATTTTCGGGATTTCTCCGCTATTCGGCGGTTACCCCGCACTCCGTAGTTATCTCGCTTCGTGGCCTACCTTGCATATCAGTAGGGGATTACGCGGGTACACGGTCTGCCTTCGCGTCGCGTCAGTTGTGCGCGGTCGTCCGGCTATCCAGGAGTATAATAATTTGAGGATAAACTGCTACAAAGCCATCGGAAGTTGATCTCCGCCATATAAACACTTTCGCCAGACAGCGCCGGTTGCATGTTGAAATAGTTACTATAGTAACTGTGTATAGTACTGTGTTAATATCTTACTGTGTGACTTGAACTTCCCTTAGTCTCAGTTTTCTATTATAGCTGGAAATAGTTATTTAACTATATTAAATGACACTTTCCATAGACAGGAATCTCCATATTGCTTTGTTTGGAATGTCCAAGTGAATTATTCGCGATGGTTTACAAAAAACCTCTTTAGAGCATTAATTTCTTCTTCATAAGATAAGCTTGTGGTTTTATTAAGCCATCCTTTATTCGCTGCGTAAAGTAAAACCACTACTATTCCACTTGAGAACCTCTCCAAGTTTTTGCTTGGACGTAATTGGCAAGCCATTATCTATAACAAAGACATTACTGGATTTTCTGTCTGTGTTGAGACAATTTGATTAATTGAATCGGATCGTACCGAATGAATGATATTAAATTGAAAAGTTAATAAAATGAGTTAATAAAAATATTAAATAATAGAAATTTATTTATATTAAAAGATGTGTCATTTCTACAGCATGTACGTAAAATATTGGTACAAATTTAAATGTAATTTTAACTTATTTCGACAAATTGAATGTATTGAATATAAAATGTTTGAAAGATATTTTGAATATTTGAGAGCATAGAAGGAAATTCTTAAATATGTTTTTAATTAAATCTTTTATATTTTACAAGTAATATATAATTTAAATATAACTCTTATTTGTTATGTATATAACTTCTAACAGAAAGGGGAAATTAAAAATTAAAGCTAATAAAATTTCTTTTGGTAACGCTAATGTGTTTTAATAGAAGCGTATTTTTAGCAAACAAGCGAATATTAATAAATGCATGGAATATTTTAATTAATATTTTTCAATCTGACTATTATATGACTTTAGCAGATGATTTATGATGATAATATAGGTAATTATGCATAATGAAATTCCATTTGAATCAAATTGTTGAGTTTGCTCGGTTGAATTATCCAGTTATTCTTTACAATCTTAAATAAATTTTAATCACATATTTATGTTTTATATATTTGTACAATAATACAAAAATATTATAACATACTCCAGAACATTTTAAACATATATTTAAAATTTGACACTATTAAATATAGAATAAAGATGTATTTTTCTATTAAATAAGAAGATATCATAAATAAGAAGATATCATAAATAAGAAGATATCATGTGTTTTATACATTACTAATTCTTTCATAAATACAAATAATTGATAAACGTGCCATATTTTTGTTTCAGGCTGAAATATGGAGCGTCTTTATTGCGATCCTAAGAAAAAGCGTTAGAAATTTACAAGCATGTACGGATGTGAGTCTCATAGAACATGTCCTGCATCGATTATCTCGTGCGGAAACTGTTGTTGCCGGTAAGTAAGCATTTCTAACGAGCATTATATTATCACTGATTGTAGAAATAATTTAATTTTCTAATATGACAAAAATCTAGATTTTTTACAGAATACCATACATATTGACATTAATTACATATCATGACATAGAAACTTGCTACTTTTTTCTATTTTAACTAATTATATATTCTTTAATATACTTTTTTAAATGTTTTTGTATACCGTAACAGATTTGTTAATCGATATGCTTGGAGTGCTAGCGAGCTATAGCATAACGGTGAAAGAATTGAAGCTTTTGTTCGGTGCTATGAAATCCGTTAAAGGAAAGTGGGTAAGAATTTTTAAGATTTATTTGTAAATGAAATGAAAATTTAGATAAATATTATTGCAAGAATGTGTTCAATAGATATATTAAATGAATACATTACACTGACAACAAAATTACTAAAGTAGCATTTACATTTTATAGCCACGACATTCGGCGAAACTATTAAACGTCCTCCGCCAAATGCCGCAGCGAAATGGGCCAGACGTGTTTTTCAGTTTTCCCGGTAAGAAGGGGTCGGTAAGTTCTTTTCTTTCTTGTTCATCTTTACCTTAGAACAGATACTTTACGACGTCCCAGAGGACATCGTTCGATTCTAAACTCGATCAAAGTTCCGATAAAAGAATTTACCCTGCGTCGCAAGATTCTGCTATCAGTTTACATTTTCGAAATCAATCACGCTAAGAAACTTTTCTGAACATTATTACTGAACATTATTTACTGCGTATATATGTTCAATCAAAAATGCTCATTGTAATACATCAAGTATTTTGATTTCAATATTAGATTTAATACAATTCAAACATTTTTTATTATATATTTAATGTCATCTTATGTATAATATAGTTATCTAATTTAGTCTATATGAAAAAAAAAAGAAAGAGTATTTATAGATAAGACGAATTTGTAGTTAATAAGAAGTAATAAACTTTTTTTTTTTTATTATCTAGATATTAATTTCCTCTCTAATTATTTCAAAAATGGTACTTGACATAGTTTGAATTAGTAATCTTAATGAAGTTTGCAAACTAAAGTTATAAGCTGCCCTACTTGTTATAAGATGTACCGTGCTAATAACGTCAAACAACAATATATAATGACAGTTTTTCATCTTTTTTGTATCTTCATTTATTAATTATATATTTTATTAATTATATATTTCTTGTATATTTACACATTTTTAATTAATTATATTATTGAAAAAACATGCATATTATAGAGCCGTAGTTAAGCATAAATATATCAATAACTAGCATCGTTATAATTTTGCTTTTTGCTTCGTAGTAATATTATAACGCTCCATAAAACTATGCATAATTAGTAATTAAATTATGTCAAATTATATGCAATTCTGAGTTTGCTACAATTTTTTGAAAAAAAGTTTGTTGGAGAGTTGAAAAAACTTAATACGTGAAACGTAATGAATATTGCATATTTTGTTAATGAAGATAAGATAAAATATTATTTGCTTGATAATATTTGATTTAATAATCATTTCAAGAAAATAGAAACTAAAATTAAAATAGAAATAGCGTAACTTCCATTGTGCATTTCTAATGTTGTTTTATATTATTATCCATTTTACTTATGCATCGAATATCGTAAAAACGAGATAAAATAATAGAATATTACAAAAAATTGAAAATAAATTAAATAATGAATATTGTATTTAATATTATGTTTCGCTGAAATTACATAAAATATTTTCATCATATCTTGTCTCCTACAGGCAATTGTTTTGCCGCCGCTTGCAAAGTGGCCGCACGAGAATGGATTTACCTTTACCACATGGTTCCGTCTAGATCCCATCAACTCTGTTAATATCGAACGAGAAAAACCGTACCTCTACTGGTAAGTGCTTCCACATCAAGTACCCTTACGAAAGTACTCTCTCCAAGTAGAGCGGTAGCCTTAAAGAACGAGAGACAAGGATTGAGGAACGAGAGACGGGGAACAAGGGACGGGGCGAGAGACAAGGGATAATGGTCTAAGAGAGAGGGACAAGAAACGAAGGGATGAAATACGAAAGGATGAGGGATAAAGAACAAATAAATGAAAGACGAGGAACGCGGGACAAATGGATGAGGGACGAAGGGATAAGAGATGAGGAACAAGGGATGAGGGATAAATTTTCGAAAACTTCGAGGAAAGCACTCAGAAATTCCGATTGGACTTATTAAGCGTAATTCTGTCAGCATACATTTGCAAAAATAATATTTATATAGTATAATAATAAAATTATTTAAGATAATGTGAATATACAACAAATAAGAGATAATGCCTATATAACGGTCGAAGCTAGATCTTAGGTGCTTAAATATCTTCATGTGAATTTATACGTAGTCATTTGAACCGAGCACCGAATTGATTTTTCGAACTTAAAAACGCAACCGAATTAAATAGTAATATCACAAATTAAACTGACAAGCAATTTAATAGTATGATAATAGTATGATCAATTGATATTTTTAAAAAATCTTAATGTATCGAAAATCTGTAAATAAATTATTATATTTTTTATTTTATTTTATATTGTCTTGCTATTTTATTTTAATTTTATTTGTTTATAGAAATAATTTTAATTATTTTATATATATAATTTTCACTATTTGTTTTTATGATAATCATGTTTTACAATAATCATATATTAAATTGATAGAAATATAAGCACATTTGAGATCTAATGAGACAGTTTTATTAAAGTATTTTTCTTTTATTATTTTAGCTTTAAAACAAGCAAGGGAGTAGGATATTCTGCACATTTCGTAGGCAACTGCTTAGTCCTGACTTCAATGAAAATAAAAGGCAAGGGCTTCCAACATTGTGTCAAATACGAATTTCAGCCACGAAAGGTACACTATTAAATTTTTAAATTGATTTATATCGATGTGCACCGAAAATTTTTATATGTTATACGAAAAAAATATTTTTGTTTTTTTTTTGCAGTGGTATATGGTCGCGATAGTGTATATATACAATAGGTGGACAAAAAGTGAAATTAAGTGTTTAGTCAATGGCCAGTTGGCGTCGAGTACAGAAATGACATGGCACGTTTCGACGAATGATGTGAGTGTTGCAAATATATTTTATATTAATAATTTTCTTTTGCCAATAATAATTTAAAGAAAAAAAAATGGTAATGTCATTTTACAGCCTTTTGACAAATGTTACATTGGAGCAACCCCCGAACTGGACGAAGAGCGCGTGTTTTGCGGACAAATGAGTGCAATATATTTATTCAGCGAAGCGCTGACAACGCATCAGATATGCGCGATGCATAGATTGGGGCCGGGATATAAGGTACGCTATAACATCTCTCACTCTTTCTCTCTATATCTGTCACTCTCTATTTTTTACCGTTGCTACGTGCTATAGATATACATGTATGAATCGTTAATCAAACGCTGATATTTTCTACTTTATATTTGTGAACGAATATTCATCATCGCTTTTACGATCCACGCGCAGAGCCAGTTTCGTTTCGACAATGAGTGCTACCTGAATCTGCCTGACAATCATAAAAGGGTGAGTGAGCAGGATCTCTCTACGAGCATGGTGGACCAAAGTATGCAAATTGTAAGCATTTTGATTTTATTTTTTCGTTAACATATTATTTGTATTTTGTTAATTATTCTGTTACTGCGTTCGAGTTCATCTAAGGTAATTATCCAATTACGATCACTGATTTTCTTGATGGCCTCTGCAATTGTTTGATAAGTTTATCAATTCGTTTGATATTATTTGTTTTGGAAAAGTCGATTTATCTGTGACTATGAATCTTATATCTATTATATTAATAAAATGCACCTATTTTTATGTTTATTTTATTTTTTATTGTTATTCTTTCTTTACTGGAATGCCTATCTTTCTTAGTGAACAGATATTGCAGAATGAATTTAATAATGTGCAAAGTACTTTTTCTGTAAGCATCTTTACATTATACATCGTATAATTTTGTTATACGATTTCGTTTGATGCTAATCGGTATCCTCTAATTAGTAGTAAGTAGCAGTATAATTATGGAGTAGTATTGAATTATTGTTTTCGAGTATGTGATTTTTGTGTATTTATTTATATTATGTAGTTAGTATCCAAGATGTTTACACCCTGGTAAGATTGAATAACGTAATGCACTTATGTTATAGCATAAATATATTGTAAATTACAATAAGTATTGAAAATTTTCTGTGCAGAAGATTTATTAATTTATTACTTTACATGTAATATTCCAGGTACTTTACGACGGAAAATTATCGAATGCAATTGTGTTCATGTACAATCCAGTAGCGACAGATTCGCAGCTTTGTCTACAGAGCGCACCGAAAGGCAATGTCTCTTATTTTGTACATACACCGCACGCCCTCATGCTACAGGTATAATTTATTCTATTAATAGAGATTTAGTACTAGATATACAGAATTACATACACTTTTTATTTACTTTTATTGTAAACATCATCGTATTAATGGAAAAGTGACACATCTCAAAATTAGCAATTTTTCAGCAGAGCATTTTTTAAATATTATTTCTCAATTGGAACAACTTCACTTTTTTCCATTAAATTTTTAATTATAAAGTATTATTTGAAAAATTCCATGAATTTTCAAAAGGTCAAAAGTCAAATATAATCTTAGTATAGGATTGTTATTATATATTTTATATTTTATCAAAATTGTAACATTTTTTTCATTTAAGCAATGTATCAACAAATATCTATGTTGTTTTTTCAAAATATGTTAGTCTTTAGGTTGATTTTCTTTCATTATTTCAGAAATGCAAGTTTTTTTATTTATGTCACTTTCTGTCACTTTTTTTAGCAGTAATGAATTATAAATATGTATAAAACAAATGTGTAAAATAAGTAAGAAATTTTTGTGTTTCGACTTTCAGGATGTCAAGGCAATCATAACACATTCTATTCACAGCACGTTAAACTCGATAGGTGGTATTCAAGTACTGTTCCCATTATTCTCCCAGCTGGATATGCCTTATGACTGCATAGCGCCAAACGACATTAAGCGCGATCCCACATTATGGTAAAGCTTTATTAATAGTTACCACTTTGGAAAATCGTGCATTTAAATAGAAGGAATTTAGAAGAAACATCGACATTATTTTTCAGTTCGAAATTGCTCGGGTTTATTTGCGACTTAGTGGAGAGTTCTCAAACCGTTCAGCAACATATGGTACAAAACAGAGGATTTTTGGTAATAAGTTTTATGCTACAGAAAGCCAGTCGAGATCATCTCACGACGGAAGTTCTTGCATCCTTTTTGGAGCTCACGAAACATTTAGTGACTTGTCTTAGCGCAAACAGTGATTTATTATTGAAACAGGTACCGATCTATTAACAAATTATTATTTGTTAGTATTTATTAGACGTTTCAATATGATAAATACAACGATATATTTATAGTGGTATATATGCAGTTAAGATAGTGGCATTTTACTGTTATTTGATATAATTTAACTAAAAAGAATATACAAAATATATAAATATATAATTAAATTTTTTAAATTATAATTTTAATATATTATATTTGATTCAATTTGCGATTATCTTAGCTGACGATAGTGTAAGATGCTTATTAGATTTAGAAAAATTAGAGTAAAAATTATAATCCCTACAATATAAAAATTAAGTAAAACAATTTTATAGAAGATTTGAAAATAGGATAGAAAATTATTGATAGAAAAAAATGAAATTACTAATCATTGTAGATTTAGTCACATCATAACATTTATTTGATAAATAGTAGGAAAAGAGGATTATGTGTTTAACATTATTAGTTGTTGATTAAGTTTTTCGTAAACTAAAAACTCTTCATCCATGCACATCTAGCTATACCTTTTTTTCAAGTGATTTTTATTTATCCCTATATGCATGGATTATATTCAATTTGGTTTAATTTCGTTAAAATATTAATATCGATGTATCCTATTCCTTTAATTTGCATTATCTCTGCTATGTAATGTAATAGCTTCTACGCTTTCATCGCAATTGCTCCTATCGAAATGTTTGCAAATATCCTATGTATATATTAATGTATGTGTTTAATATGCATTTCCATACAATTTTAAAGGCTCTTCTACAATCCTGTTACGAGCATGCCTATTCGCCTTCTTCGATTAATTATTGTGCTATTTAAACTTCGGATCGCATGTAATCTACCGACTTTTGAGCTTCCTGAATTTAAAAGAAGGCTACGCAAAGTATTTTGTTCGTAATGTTGCTTTTACATCAAAATTCATAATTCTTATTTTGCAACGCTAAGAATCTTCGTCTATCTCTGCTATATCATGAAAAGTTATATTATTTCTATCTTCAAATATGCACTATCATCAAAATCCTATCATATGGTATATTATTTTTTATTGTCATAGGTTGTCCCAACGGCATAATTAATTATATTACTTAATTAAATACTAATCATACATTTAATATATGATTAATTTATTTGCAGTTTAATATTAATTTAATAATATAATATTAATACACTATATTAATACACAAAATCGATGCATTTCTTGCTCTTTTGCAATATAAAATAATTATGTTAAATATTTATGCAATTAATTGAACCACATTTTCCGATTTTCAGAATACATATATATGTATATCCTAAATTTAAATTTCGATATTATTTTTCGAGTTTTTTCATCAGTTGATATAAATGCACGAATATCCATTTGCACTATATTTTATATTATGTTTTATATTCATATAAATCACTAATTATTGTTGCTCGTAACAGCAATACTATCTGCACTTTATCTACTATCAATTCCAATTGTTTCCGTAAACTCAATAACTCTTGTTTGATATTTGTATATTATTTTTTTCTTCACACATGTAGCCCAAAATTCATAGTTAGATCTTATATTTAAAACTGTCTTGAGTACAGTCTTAAGATGTCATGAACCAATCAGAGAACTGTATTAGCATCTTAAGACGAACATTACTTAAGTAACGGTCTTAAAATAAGAATGAACTATGAATATTACCCATAGAGAATTATTTTTTCATTATAATTTAAATATATATCCGATAATATTTTAATGATTATATATTTTTTATGTTGTATCTACAT